TTCGAATTCTTGATTATTGTACGTTAATTTTGGATGATTTTCTTTCTATATTCTTAGGTTAACGTATGCATCTAGATGAACACAAAATGTTAAAAAATCATATGTACATTTTATATGACTGCATGTTGTTTAATTTGAAAAGTGTTTTTTCATGTATGCTTTATAACATTTTATGATGGTTTAAATTTGCATCAGAATCTACAGATTAGAAAAAAGTGATTGAATGAATGGATCGGAAATAGGAAATCATTGCTTTTTCAATTAAGTCAGCATCATGACATAGTTGATTTAAGTAAACGCATAAATGCGGTACACAACATTTTTCACATATAACATTGTCAAATTCATTAATATATGCCTTAATTTGGCCTTTGTAAAATATCATAATTATGGACTTATAAACTGTAGAGCTTGATGAAGAAGTTATTGAAAACAAATATTCTTCATTTTTGAAAGATTAATAGTAAAATTAGTGTTGATATTAAATAGTAGTCTGCTAAAAGATCTGTATATGGTCTGTATAATAAAGATAGGACTTGTTTGTGATACAGTTACACGAATATTCCCCACATGAACACATCAATTAACAAGTGGAATAAAATTAAAGTAGTTTCCTTTGTATTTAGTGATTAATTGAAAATTGAACAAAATATTGAAGACATTTAGATATAAGATTTAGATTCTATCTTTTGTCAATTGTTTTTCTGGCTATTTTTCAACTTGAATTGTTAAACTAAAAAAAACTTAATCTCGAAGCAAATGAGTAATTTTTTATTTAGTAAAACAGTTTAAGATATATTTCATCAATTCCAAAAAAAATTCATTCTAAAACCTAGTTGTGGCAGTGAAATATTTCGCAAAGAATAACTCGCAGTTCTTCTAAACAGCTTCAGTCTGAAGATGAATACTCACTGATGGTATGATTCAATTTTGGTGCACCATATGATGAAATGGATAATGCTGAAATGTTCATATGGAAACATGTTTACCATGTAGAGGGAATATTCTAATGGGGAGGGAGGCACGCTATTGAAGAGATGATAAAAGCTTAATAATTAATAATATTTTTTTACTTAAACTTTTGAAATCACTCAAATATGTTAAGAAAGCTAGTTCTTTGTAATGAAGAGAATGTCATTTTTTATAAATGTTGTCAACATAATACGTGATTTAGAAATTTTAATGAAAATAAATGTATTTCATGAACACTTGTCTAAATAGTTTGACCTTTATTTTGTTTTTACGAGGGAGAGATAACAATCTGTAACACTGTTTTGTTGTTTTCAGACTCTTCTTCAACTACATACAAGTTAAGATTTTGTTATCAGTTGTTAGTTAGTCTGCTTCTGTTTGTCTGCCACTTTATTTCATTTACTGTGTCATCCCATCTACACACATATTCATTCATCTGTATACATCCAAGCATTATTATACAATATAAATAAACATACATACATGCAGTTGTAGAGACTAGTTTTGTGTATAGCTTTAGTAAATCAATGATTTAAAAGCTCAGTATCTTGAATGAAAGCGAAGTTGTATAAGTCCGGGTTTATGAAATTATTATGTACATGCGTATTTACAAATATAACTTCGCGCGTGTGTGTGACACAGAAAGGGGGTTTAAAACAATTGTAAATTTTAATGAATTCTTCATTTACTAAAATATGGGAAAAAATATAATTATTCAAATCCACTGATCTTATGGTTGTACAAAGTGTATATTACAAAAAGCTATGGTCTATTTAGCTATAGGAAATCGTAGACTATTATAATTTCATCATGGATTGTTGAATAAATAATACTTCTGGTAAGAAAACTGTTTCTATTCATCAAATTATGAGCATATAGACTCACGTTTTTCTATCATAAATTTATTCATTCAGTCAACGTGACGTGTGAAAGAAGGGAGAATTAAAGATTTCAATCAACATAATCCAACGTCTACCTTTTTAGAAAAAAAGATTAAGATATAGGAATGGATCATTTCGATTTGTTCACTTACTAGTGTCTTTTGTTTTATATTGTGAATACGGTTGCAAAAAGCTGATAAGGGAAAGTATGAGATAAAATAAATACATATTACTTTACAACAACTGTTGTTATTGTTCTATTTTTATTACTTACTGAATTTCAATTTCTCCCTGATAATATGAATGAGACATATCTGTCAGTTCTCATTCCAGCTTATTCAACTATTCAGACGACTATATATATGTTCGTTCCAAACTATCAGATAAAGTGTAGGCAAAAACATCTAACATTAATTACGTTATCTATATTAGTGCTTCATGACAAAATAATATTTGTACAAGAATGGTCATTAGTGGTTAAAGCAAATATAGGTTTTTCTTAATTCGGGAAATGACTAATTTTGTGTATATTCGAAGTAGGCACTAATGATATTGTTCATTAGAATAATACGAACGCTTCACAATTAAACGATCTAGCACAGAGAACCCAAAGCTGTTGCAACAATGAAATCAAAAAGATTCACTAGTCTGCACAATTTAGTCTCATCTTTATTATTATTTATTTAGAGTAAAAAGTTCACTCAACATATCCTATCTATTTTTAGGATACGGGGTCACTTTTCCGGAAGTAAATAATTTTCATTAGAAATCTGTTTATTCCTTTATTTAGTCAATTATGTATCATCAAGGGTAAATAAAGATAGTTCATTCCTTTTTTTCTCGCTCACTTTGTCTACGCTTCTCTTTATTAACCTGTCTATACTAACTTTTTCATATACTTTTCTCATATATTAATAGCTAGTATAAATTTTTGCTTAGTTGCAAAACTTTTACACGAAGCGCCCTTAGTTTATTTCGTTTCTGTACATAAAAATTAATTATTTATATGCTTACAAATATTCTACAAATGTGTGTGTGTGTGTGTATGTCTATGACGTACTCGTGTGCATGCATATGTACGTATATTATTGCATGTTTGTTTAGCAATCTTGTAAGAAATGTATGCCAAAATCTTTGAAAGATTGAGAAATACATTTTTAAAAATAATTTACTTAACAGTTACAATGAATAAGTTTTTCTATGCTTCGTGTTATTTGGCTTTTTTGTATTTATCATCAGAAGTAAAGTGCTCAGTCCTTGTTAGAACTATGTTTTTTCATCTCTCCTTATATATACGTATATATAAGTAATAGGCTTATAATCAAACTAATTCATCAGTAAAAATGTGTATCAATGGTTGTTAGTTTCACCTAATAACAAAATTTCCGAGAGGTGCAACCTACACATTTATAATTCTTACTGTTCTGGTGACATAAAGTTCGAAGAATGATGTTATTCGACAATAATTTAAATGCAAAGTGGTTAAATGTATTGTTTACTAATCAATAGCCATTAAAATGCAGAATTTCAGTTTGTTGTGGTTGAAATCACCTTCAATTTAAATGTTTATAAAAATACTTATAGTCCATTCAGTAATGACCGGTGGAACCATGTCTAGTTGGAATTAACCCAGGATCTCACAAATGATATTAAATAAATAAAGTAATTATGTAGGGCCTACTGAGTATGTAGTGCAGACATTCCACGTCTGACTTGTGTTACATACTACTTATATCTCCAAACATAAGTAGCATGCATCACAAATATAGTTGGGAATTCAGTTTTACTGAATTGCTGTTCAGTAAGTGTCATGTGTATGCCTCGATATTTGAAGCTTATTGAATGAAGTCTTTGTGAATTAATTAGTTGGTGGTTTCCTGTTGATTACCTTCAACCACCATCTTATCTCAACATAGTGCACGCAATGTCAAGTCACATGGACTAATGGCCACATCGTAACTTGGTCTATAGGATTTGATCTGCACTAATAAGGACCTGACACACATGACATTGATCACCACCCAGTGATCAATCAATTGAAGTGATTATTGTACACACACACACACTACTGAGTAGTAGAATTATAAACATCTATTCACGGTTCTTCGTTGTTTGTGATGACTTCTTCTATTTGGTATCAGTTCATGGTATGAGGATGGAAACTTCAAGGAATTTTTAATTCACCATAAAAGCAGTGCAGTATTGAAAACTAATTTGTACAGGATGTTATTTATTGTTTTTATGGTTAAACTAATTACATTGTCAGGAGCTGGTATTATCATTGTAAGTATCGTTTTACAAGTTGAAATATATTGTGATTTTGTGATGATATGAATAGTCACCAGTCACTTCAAAAATGAGAACACTTGTCAACATTATCCTTCTATTACACTGTCTACCTCCTTCTGCATTTTTTTTATCAACTTCTTAATATCTTTAGTTATGTAGATTTAAAATCTTTAAAATATAATCAAACTAGTGTTTATTTGTATCGGATTTTTATTTAAACACCCAAATAATGTTTCAGCTCTTGATGAAAAATTAAATTCAAGTCTATATTTTTTTGAAATCATAGTCATAGTAATAGTCAGTCAGTTATAAGCATGAGAAAAGTTATCATTCCCTGGTTGCTCACACTGTGGAATAATACTTTTTGTGGTTTTTGGAAAGGAAACTGGATTAAGAGTGGACTTGATAACTTGGGGTTGGAACTACAATCCCCGAGCGACAGCATCTTGAAGTCAGTCACTCAGTTTTACTTTCAGTATTCTCAGATGAAGTAGCTTCTTAGACTTTAACTTCAGTTCGAGGATCAAGGTAGGGAGAGCTATGGTACTTTTAGGCCTGACATTTTCTAACCATCTCTATTCGTTGTGTGAAGTCATCATCTCTGAAAATTTAGGTTGTCGGAGGGAAACACCCTATTATTGTTAAATCCCTGTACAGTCGGTATTACAACAGCTTCCTCAGACCATAAGCTTACTGCTTTACTTCAACACGATATCCAAGCTCGACCACCACATCAAGGTAACAGCTGCAGTCGGTAATCATAGTAAGAAATTTGGGGTGTATTTAAGCTATGTGAATTTGTGAATTATATGTAATCATTTATGCTTTTAATTTTATTGTGATTACTTTTTGTTTTAGCATTTACATGAATTCGTCGCATATCCAGAATTATTAACACTATCCATAGATCAATTGAGTACGTGTATTTTAAAAGGTTTATCGATGGTACAATCGTTGATTCAATGTACTCTGTCAGTGCCAAAAGAATTGTACATGTTGCAAAAGGATCAGTCAACACTACATAAATCAGTGAATAACACTAACGGCAACGATAATGATAATGCTAACAAGATTCCAAAAGCCGATGAAAATAATGGTAAGTTTATTATTACGTGCATATGTGATTATTTCTATTAGTATTTTCTCGGTTGTTAAATAATATTAAATAATAATAATATAATCGTAATGATAATAGTAATAATATCAGCTTCGTTCACTACTGTAAATCTAGTCACAGTAAATAATTCTCTGTATCCACTGTACAGTATTGAATCAATTTTCTATTTAACATACGTCGAAATTAGAATTATTCAGAAATTATATTCCATACATGTCTTTTCAATAGTCAATATCTTCCACTCATCCTCAGTCGCGAGAGTATACTATTAATGAAGGTGCTGCAGGCGAGGCTATAATTTATGGACGAACCAATCAGATTTAGGACGTATCTCGGATTTTGGCGCGAAATTCATTCACCCATTTGTTTTAAAAGCGTTTTGGCATTTTAGCTTATGTCAGTTCGTGATGAAAACTATAAATCTAATTCCTAATTCTAACCATCAATTGTAAATCATAATCCTTTTTCTTCAAACTACTTTATAACCCTCGTTTAGCTTTAGTAATTAGATGGACATTCTCAAGGTCACTTTAGTGTTGCTCAATTGTCGTCCATAAGTGATAGTCTCACCCTATTTCCATCTCATCCGTCAGATACTGAATGTATGATTTCCAGTATATTGGTCTCTCCTTTTTCTTTTAAAATGGTAGACGAGTAGGGAAATATGCATACAAGTTCAGTGTTTCTGTTTGAAATTTCCAGTATTTAATATCACGATGTGTTGTAAGCCATTTGTAATACCGTGTGAGTACAAACAGTTAAAAATTATAATTATTCAATTAAAACAAATCTGAAACAGAATAAATCATTGTAATATTTGCATAGTTGAAACATGAGTAGCTTAAACATTTGAATGGTTCACTGTGATTCTTTGTAATACAATTGAATGATTTTCATGGTATTTTGTACTGCTATTCATATTGCTTGAAAGTATGGTGTGAAAGTTGTAACATTAAACTATTCAGCTGTGAAAATGCAACAGGATCAGATTAGTCAACATTTTGTAAAATTAATTAAATAGATTCAAAGTAATTGTCAACCCAGCTATATGATAAATAGTTTAAACATTTCTGTATAATATAATAAATAGGTTATTGTGAATCTCATCTATACAGTAAAATTTATTAGACAGTAAATGTATGATTCTTATAATGTACTTAATTCCATTACAGATATTTTGAATTAGTGAGTTTGTCATAATTGAAATAGTAACAAGATTCACTGGGGTAAGATGGGAAGGCATGAATATGTGATATAGGATTTCATGAATTTCATTGTAAATCTGCTAGCCAGACGACATCTGGGCAATAAAAATGTTTCAATACATTTGTTGAATTAGTGTGTGTGTTTGTGTGTGCACATTCACCGGTGGAAGCATTCTTTTTGTGAACATCAACCATTTGTAAATAGTATATTTCTTAAATCAGTGTGTATGAATAATAGATGAAAAAAAAAAGATTAATTGAGATCAGGAATCGATTAATGTTAGACCACCACTGAAAACCTGGAAGTGCTGGACGACTGTTTCGCCCTAGTATGGGACTCCTCAGTAGTGCACAACCACAGCCCTGCGCGTGGGACTCTAGTCCAGGACCTACGGCTACGTTCGGACGCTTAATCTCTAGACCAATAAGTTGGCATCCAACTGTGTTAATATGTAAATTCAACCAATTTACGATATTACACAACCATCTTCCATTGTTTTCCGTGGGTAAATGCCTCACACTCAAAATGGTTGAACTCCACTGGTCACGGCTTCTCACTAGAATTCCGAGAACTGCCTCTCGAAGCTAGTCGCTAATACACACATGATAATAATCAGTGTAGGATTGTAGATATGGTTAAGTTTTTTTAAACTGAGATTATGAACCGATCATGATCTCAATTAAAAAAAACTCATTAATCTCTACAACTCTATACTGATACAAACGATTAAGTGAATAAGGATTGTACAGTTTTAACGTTCAATTTTACTACTTTAGTTATCATTTCACTGTTATCATTTTGAACTATTTGTGTACTTCCCCCTCAATTTGTTGCATATCTGTGTATGTGTGTATTTGTTCGACAATAGAATCATATTAGTGTGTAAAAAAATTTATTAAGTTGTAATTCTTTTGACCTAGTTCTAAATCTCCCTCTTTCACGTCATTCGAGAAACCTAATAAATATGAATAAATGTTATTAATAAGAATTTATCTTATCATTTTTAGCCTTGAGCTAAATTTGCTTAACAGTGGGTGTATAATTTCAATTTTGTCAAATTCATTCGTTTACTTTAGTCTAAATATTTATTTTCTCTTTCTTTCTCTCTGTTATTTGCCTTGAAATAAATGAAGGTGGCTGAAATGTAAAACCGAATACTTTTTAATTATTCCTGAGTTCATTGAATTCACGAATTTGTAAGATTTATGTCGATTTTGTTGTATTTTCATAATATGACACTAAAATACATTACTAGGGACACTGTTTCATAATTCCAAGGAATATATAACTTCTCTTATTGCCCAATCGGATTATTCAATAAATAGTATTATTTTCATAATCTAAATCACGAAGTGATCTTAGTTAAACCACCATTAGTTTCCTGACTCATGATTACTCATTGAGTGTACTCGTAATCTCTGATACACTGTTATCCTTAAAGATACATGAATGTCTATCTACAATATTTTTTTGATTGTGTTGACGTAATTTAGTGTCCACCTTGAAAAGTTGATCGATAAGACTCAGTTCTGAAAATGTCACAATAAACCTATCAATTACTGACAAGTAATTATCTAAAGTTGTAACACAACAACTTGGTAGATTTTTACAGTTGGTTCTGTTAAATTAATAACTGTACAAGAAAGGTGATAAACATACTCAAGATTCTGTGTAAAGCTAATCTTAATTTACTCTTTCTGGTTAAAGAATATTTACCTTAAACTTGAAAATAAGAAGCATGTTTGATATAAATTAGGCGCATCGATAATTAATAGTTGGAAAAAATCAAATGATAAGTTAGGGGAACACTCAATATAAGTTCATTATTAAGCTAGTATTTTACATTAGTACTAGATTTGTGATGGTAACAGTTTCTGAACAAACTGAGCAAACAACTAGCTACACTACACGTTGTCTGAGATAGCGAGATGTATAATATTGTTGTGTTAAATTTCCTAATGAGTACATAGATTTTTTATATACAATAATGCTTAAGATGTCCGGTTCATAAAAATTAAGTAAAAATTATGAATTTCGTTTGTGAGCCGTTGAAGTTGTATTTTCCTGAATGCGATTTCCTTAAACATTATATATATATATATATATATATATATATATATATATATATATATACTTCTTTAGGCCTGAGATTTTTGAGAAGCACTCTTGCCTTTCATTGTCATAACCATAGGCCAGGTTTGAAGTTCGTTATGCGAATACCTGAAGAATTAATGAGGTGTATATTCGAAACTTTGTAGACTTCTGTATATCTGTGTGTCAGACGAAGGAGGGAAATGGAAAAATAGTCATTTGCGCATACATAGCCACTCGCGTCTTCGCTGATGAATTCACTGAGTTCGCTGTTACTGCCTTCAGTGATTCACTTTCAGTTGTATTTGGTGATTTCAATTCATGTGACTGTAGCTTCCTTACATTGCTAGGTCACCAAAATTTAGTAGATTTTCCTACTCGGTTGGATGGTCATTTAGACTTCGTTTTCATTAATGATGTAGGTATATATGTGACTCGTAAACGTGCCCCATGGTCTAGCTCGGATTACTGTATAATTCATGTTCTACCTAAAGTATATGGAAAGCATGGGAAGAGTACACTCTTAAATCAAACCAAGAAAGTCAAATATAGCAATCCCTCAGAAGAAAATATCGGAAATCTGAAAAAAATGTTTCATACGACTAACTGGGAATTATTTACAGACGACTCGCTGGAAATCATTTCTGATGTTATCATTTGTTACCTTAAATTCTGTTTTGATATCTGTTGTCCCACTGAAACCATTTTTGTAAGTTTTGATCGACTTACATCTTCACAACTAAAACGACTACGGAGGGTGAAAGAAAGAATGTACAACGAGAAAAACTCTAGTGAAGTTCGTAAGCTAAATGGTCTGATAAACCTCGAGATTAGTCGTCTTAACATTATGTTTACTCAAAAACTCTTGTGTTGTGAAAACTCTTCAAGTATGTGGAAACTCTCTAAAGAACTTACAGGTGACATACAGATTAGGATCGATAACCAGCTGGATATTTGTGACTTAAATAAGTCTTTTTTACGTCAGTCATCTGATGTGATGCTCCCTTTATTCACGGGTTTAAAAAATAGATGTGTTCCTAGTTTCACTAAAACTGATGTCCAAAAATGTCTCCAGTCACTAAATTCATCCCGATGTTTGGGACCTGATGGTATCCCAGACCTCCTTTTTAAAAAGTGTGTTGACGTCCTATGCTATCCATCTTTAACAGATCCTTCTCTTCTAATCTTATACCGAAAATGTGGAGGAAGATGAAGATAATCCCTATACCCAAGAAAGCATCTGGTGATAAGAAATTGAAATTCAGACCCATTGCAATAACTTTACCCTTTCTCAAAACAATGGAAAAATTATTGACACTTTCACTTCAGCCTGCGATAAAAGAGCACATTGACCAGTATCAGTTTGCTTACAGATGCAAAAGAAGCACCATAGATGCTGTTGCTGTTCTGCATCATAATATAGTGTTCAACCTAGAAAAGGGTAAGAAGTATGTTCGACGCGCTTTCCTGAACTATACTTCTGCTTTTGATTCTATATCAAGACAACGTTTACTTAACAAGTTGATCAGCGTCAACACTGACAGCTGGATAACCAACTGGCTATGTTCCTATCTCTCTGGAAGGGAACAGTACACAGTGTTTGGAGGAAAGTGTTCAGAGTCTCTAGTGTCTTATGAAGGTGTACCACAAGGAGCTGTTCTTTCACCTCTTCTTTTCTCTTTTTTCTGCATGATCTGCCATCTTCCACAGTAAACACTTTGGTGAAATGTGCAGATGATCTCACTGTTTGTATGCCTATCTCTTCCTCTTTACATCCTATAGAAACGAACGAGTTTTTGTCTCGCATTGATAGTTGGTCTGTTGTTAATGGTCTCATACTTAATCCGTCTAAATGTCAAGCTGTTAACTTTAGCATGAGACATGATCGGCATTTAAACACCATTTTGAGGTCCCATGATGCTTGTGTCGTTGGCGAATCATTGATAAACACAGTGTCGACGGTCAATTATCTTGATGTTACCTTTTCCTCTGATCTCTCTTGGTCTTCTCACGTTTTATTGTTATCGAAGAAAGTTTTCCGTCTGACTTACTACATAAAGAGATTGCATGCTCTTGGGATCACTCGTCATTTACTCCTACAATTTGTCAATTCTTGCATATTACCTATTATTCTTTACTGTTCTCCATTATTCCTTCCCGGACTTTTGAGAAAAGACTTTGCTGTACTGCGGAGAGTGCTGAAGGCAGTTAGCAAGGTATGTGGTGAATCTTTCGAGACCATAATTAGTATGGTTGTGGATAGACATCTAAAATCATGCAAACTCCTGGCAGGTGTTATTTTATCAGATACTAACCATCCCCTTCACTCATATATTTCTCCTTGTATATCTTCTGGTAGAACGAGACGAAATTACATTAAAATCCAAGCACGCAAGCAAAAGTATAAACGTTCTATAATACCTTACCTAGCAAATATACTCTGTGACGAACAGGTTGTTAGAGTTAACCTAGTTAATAATCTGCATTCTTAACATGGCTCTAATTGAAAAGTTGTACAGTTTTTCAGATTTTTTTTTATTAACCGTCATTTTTTTTCTGTAAAAGAAACTTATTGAAATATCTTTGTGCTGAAAATCCTATATTGTACCAAAATATAATATTGAATAAAGCCATAAATAAAATAAAATAAAAAACAACTGTTCAATACTTCCTGATTTTAATGGTCATTTAATTAAGATCACTCCCTGACCGAAGCTGTAAGATTCAATAATCTTCACAAACCCCTTATACATGTTCTTTTGACTTAATATTACACTTTTTATTTATTTTCTGTTTTTTTTCCAAAACTTTAGAATCTACATCACCACAAGAGAACCGTTTTATAATTGTCAATCGTGGTATTTACAATCGACTGAATGCACTGATTCAAATACAGAATACAGAAAAAATGATAATAATGCCAAAACGTATTCAATGGTCATTAGGTTTGATTAATAACCGTAAAAATTCTTCATTAAATCAGAAATTTATCGATTGTAATAATTTAATGACCTCCTCATCATCACAACTAACTAATAAAACCAGTCGTTCTACATCCTCTCTTGATAAAGAATTATTGGCTAATAGTGATGATAAACATAACGATGAAAATATTATCCATAATTCTAATCAAAGCAGAGCTGACAATCATGACGAAGTCATTAACAATAATTTCTGTAATGGTTATCTAAGAGATTGGGTTGGATTGTCGATTTCTGATCATGACGACGATTTTAATCACAATTATCAACATCAAAGTCACGTGAACTGTCCAACAATGAATAGGACATTAAATAACACATCGTCATCATCATTGTCATCTGTTAATGGTAATGATAATTCCAGTATTAGAGATTATTCATCTGTTACAGAACGTTCGTTATGTATGGTAAAAACAAATGATCATTCAATCACGACTAATAATAATAATAATAATGCAATGAATAGTATTAGAATTGCTTTTGTTCGTCGTGAGTCATCTGAATGCGGTGATGCAATAGCTTCGTGTTTTCTTCAAAATAAACATTTACGTGAGTAATAGAAATGATGTAGAAAGATTTTTTACTTGAAGAGAGACCAAGAACAAAAATTTAAGCAGAATCAAATGAATTTACTTTATTTAGCTAGATCTTCGTCAGTTGCTTAATGACTGTAATATTTGATTGATTTTAAATATTAGGACTTCCGTAAACAACCGAAGAGAATTCAACGAAATAAAATGAATTCATGATATTTTGCTTGGATTTTTATTCTTCCTTTCTTCTGGATAATAAGGGGAACTTTGTGTACAAATTTTTGACTCATTAGTATAGTAGTCTTTTTATGGATATTTTTAATTACTGAAAATAGTAATAGTAGTGTATAATTCTGTAATGGAATTGTCTGGTGCGAAATTGAATTAGACTTGAAATAGACATTTTACTCTTGATTTGTTTGTTAATAATATACTAATGATGCGTTGCATCGAAAGCTCACTTATTTGGCGAAGTAAAGTAACTAATGAGTCTGGTGTATCGACTAGGAACAATAGAACAATTTTACAGTTGGATATATTTTTGTCATCTGAAGATGATTGTGTAAATTATAATGTTGTGGCACATATTAACTCCTACGTTATAATCAGCTAGTCATACATAACGTAGAACCTGTTAAACATCTTCATAAGTTTAAGTTGCCACACTATATCAGTATAGTGATGTAAAATTATCTCTGAGTGGTAAGAAGTAGTAGCAATATCAGTAGTAATTGGAAGATTAGGCATGGACGGAATGGTTGGAGAAGGAAGAGTGAATCTGCGTAATAAAATGTATGAAATAATTTTAAAACTGAGGATATGAGAAAAGACGAGGAGCAAGTGCATTAACACCATTGAGATCAATTCTGAACCATGTCCTCCAACGTTTCCAACCATTGATTACAGTGATTGCACTAGGCTCAATCACGTAGTCTTCATCTACCAACATAGCTCATTTCAACTGTCAGTGACTTCATGGACTGACGCTGTGTCCGAAATTTAAAAGAGATAAAGTGAACTATGCAGGCAAGTATTTAATCAAATGAACAGTAGTCTGAAATTTCGACTGTTATATTCATTGGCAAGCAGAATAATGTACAACCATAAACATATTAGTTTAAGTTGTCAGGTATAATAACGAAGAGGGGTAGTAAAGATGAGGATGACTCGATGTGTGAAATACATAACTTTCGATGTCAGTTTATTATCAGCAGTAATTAGGTTTTGAACAAAATCCCTTTTTTTGAAAGAAAAGTTTATTTTGATGAAATCAATTCTATTTCATTTTAAACTGTTTTTTTTTTCTTTCAAATTAACCAATTTCCTTTATAGCTGCTAAACTGCGTAGATCACGACTTCGTGGAACGGATAGCTTAGTTATTAAATTCAAAAGACACACTCTTTCAAGCAATTATTATCCTAGTGAATTAGTTCCTAATTCTATTGTGCAATATAATGAACAGTTAAATTGTGATAAATTTTTCAATCCTAATACTATTTTTATGACTACCAATAATACTTCTACCATTACGACTATTAACACGAGTAGTAGTAATGATAGTAGTAGTAATAATACTCACAATAACAGTACTGAAAAACGTATGCGCTGTGATCAAAATAAAATTTTATGTATTTTAACTTCACCTCTTAACTATTCGTCAAATTATTATCCAAGAAATACATGTTATGATAGCTATCAGAATCATCCTCATCATTATCATCATAATAATCGTCTATTATCTCCAACTACACTGACCACATCATCTATTGCATCTCGAGTGAAATGGGGAGCAAATTTAACATTGTTATCTAATTCTCTTACAAATAATCATGATACCAATGACAATATACAAACAAATTATCCCGTAAATCATCAATATGATTCTGGATCGAATACAAAAGAATTAAATCAATTTACCAATGAATTTAATACAAATAAAAATTTTTTAACACCATCATTATCGTCATCTTCATCGTCAACAGTGACGCTTAGAACTTGTCAACATGATTTAGATAAGATAATTCTACATCCCAGGCCTAGAATACCACCGAAACGTTTAGATTTAGCTAATCAAGATTTGGAATTAGCTTTGAAAAGGGTAAGATTTACTATTTTATTTTATGTCTTCCCTATTTTAAATAAAAAAGTTATTATGTAATCATTTTCCATCCTGGTATTATTTGATGTTTTATTGTTTAAATTAGCCGTTATAGATGAAATGCAGTTTCTTTTTAAGAAGATAGGGAACGGTAAAGAAGTTTCAAACTTCAGTTGAGTGCTTTTGGGCGGGTGGTTTGGTCAGCTTACGATTGTCAGTAGTAGTTAGGGTTAGTTGGAAATTGATTGTATACTATATAAAACACCAGAAAGTTCTACTTTATTACTCTTCAGTTATACTAACGCTCTCTAGTTTATCCATAGTTAGGTATGAAAACTTTGGGTTCCGTAGCAAGCATCCTATGGAAAATTGTTTGTGAAAGATTTTGGCTATATCTTGTCAATATTATGGGTGTGGTTGGTTAATGTTATAACTGTTATGATACTACTATATATATCTGACCAGCAAAAAGTAGGTAGAGTGAGGTTTAAACCTAAATTCAATCATTAAGCTACTTCCCAATCACGATATAATACTGGTATAGAAGTGTATAGTGGAAAGTACTACACAAATCGATACACTTAGCCTATGACTAGAATGGAACAAATGTTCGATACCTTTTACTTTTCATTACTCTCTCGTTAAGATTATGATTATCATTAACGGTGATAGTGTATTATATAAGGATCCAAGACATATTTGTCCGTATATTTAAACCTACGAAATAAATGTATTTTCGTTCCAATTTTTTGTACTTATTATTAGTTAAACCAATCATCCGTATATTGAGATTTAAAATTGTATGATATGAATATAGAGACAGTTTCAAAAAAATCATAGTACTCATAGTTTCATACACTCTTAGTTTCATTTTTCCTGTTTCAACATTTAAAGTGGTGATTTAATGCAAAACTATTGTTATGGAGCGGAATAACCAGAGATAATTCCAACGATAACTTCTGTTCTGTGTTCAGCAGCTCTCATCTCTACCAGTCCCAAATACTCCAAAAGACAAATCGTGTTAAGATTGACTGGAAAAGGCTAAAGAAAAATAAATTAACATCCACGCTAATTTAATAATACATCAAGTAATTTCAGTGGTTTTTATTTACAGAATTTATCAAATAACTAGTCATTACATTCATGAGAAATATGAGTCAATAAATACGACATTCTTTAGAACTCAACAAACTAACTTCATACGCATTGAATCAACCCAAGTGAAAGTACACTGAAAATAACGAACATAATTCACCTTAAATCAATATGTAAATTGTAAAATTGGTTTCTCCTTGGGTATTGTATTTGGAAATTTACTATCCCCAGCGCCTATATCCTACAATCTATCAAGTGATATGATTCATCACGGCTATAACATCGTTGAAATATCCATATTGGCAAACTTTACTGTTCAAAACCAACCAAAATTTGTTATTGACGAGAATTCAACGATAAAGTACCTTCATTGGCGACTTTAGGCAATGTATTTAAAAACTAATCCCACTTATCTGGTTGTATATCCTTTAGTTCCTTACATACAACATAAACCGACTGGACCACCCATTTACTCAATTTTACGCAAATTTGTTAATTATTAACTTCATTTCCTTGACATTATCTTGGTCACTTTTGTTTCTTTTCATCTAGTCGGGATAATCAGGTAAGGCAATTAAGGTCAACGGATATCTGTGTCAGGTTCTATGTTGATGACGTCAGTATATTGCTTCCTGTATAATTTCGATATATCTCATTAGCTACTTTTATATCACTGAGTAGTTTGATACTTTATTAAAATTAGTTGTTGCTGACGTAATTTCAAAAGAATTTAGTTGAAGTATTTTTTATGCATTTTTAGAGCCTTAGTGATTGTACAATGCAGTCATCTAATAAGAATTATCACAATAGTTCAATCAAGAAATCTTTGGCTTATAAAGTGCGGTTAAATAACCAACATACTGGGAACAGGGATTCAACAAATAAAAATCTTGCGCGTCGAACAAAAGCAGTCTTACGCTCAAAAAGAAAACGTCACAAAACATTTACTAATTCACGTCGTCAGAAATCCAAGGCTGGTAATGTTGTAAGTGATTCCGTTTAGCTAGCCGAATTTTATAAGCTTCCTTAAATTCTTTCATTTTAAAATTTTACCAACTTAGTTCACAAATTGCATGTTTCAAATATTCAATAACCATTAAGCCATTGGAAATAAGAAACTGTTAAACTTATTTTCATATGAATTATATTTAGTCTTCAACAAATGAGTGAACTTAGAATAGTCATCTTACTCTGATCTACGATTAACTGAATTAAGTGAGAGAATATATATCATTGCTAAGAATTTGTAAAATACTACCTAGTACGTTTCTTTTTGATCCATACTGAAAATCCAGACCATTCGATGAGCAGTTTCGATTGCATTGATTTGAAACCGAAAGTTCAGGATGCATAGATCATTGTTACAGTTGAAATACTACAGCATATTTTCGGATCAATTGTGTACATTAATTCTCATGCAAATAAGTAAATACAAAAAATTCCTTGAATATACATGTACATGTTTTTACTGATCAGCAGATATTATATATGAATTCACATAAACTGAATAGCTAGATAAAGATTTTATAAAGGATAAAAATATTGGAATTTAGAAAAATTCGACTGAGGTTATCCTTTACGTTCTGATGTTGAACTAATCTTATATCCAGAACGTTCGGCCAATTTTTCGTTTATTAAATGAGTGAGTACTATATACTAGAGTGTAATTTTGATTTCAGCCCTTAAATGTAAACATATTTGTGTTTTTCACCAGGTTTGTTAAACTACGCTACACTGATTTGTTCATAATATACTGTCCCGGATAAATCCAGATACTTGAGATAAAATCTAAATTGAGAGTCATACTCCGATATGCAGGACTCACTCACTTAATGAAGGGGTAAATGACCGAAAATAGTGAACTCCGCCTGTGGCTATTTTAGAGTTATTGCCGGTTCCAAGTCCGAGTAAATGAGTAGGGTTGAGCAATATGTCGGTTACCCCATCCCGTAGAGAAAAAAATCTTACTAAAAAAACGCCTATCAGATTAAACAAATTAAAGATTATGTGTTTATTTGTAAAAATTAGGAATTTTGTCACTTTTGATAATAACTGAAAATTTTATTCGTGTGCTCTTAGGACTCCTGAATGGTTTATATTTCATCTTCTCTTTTCTACCTCTGCTTTTCTTCTTTGTAGAAAGGCCAAAGACATAAGTCTAGTGGAAATTCTCCCATTACTAATCCAACAGACAATAGTTTTGTTTCAAATCAATCACACATTGTTTTAGATGATTCTGTAATTAATAATTTGAATGAGAATGGTGATCGACTGATGAATGACAACCTATCACGTCTCCCATTGCCAAAACTTACTTTGGCTAAAAATAGTGTTGGTGAATTTAATGTAGTTGAAAATCGTGAAGAGAACACTGGCAAGTTTCCTGAAATATGTGATCGTAAAACTACTACTGATAACATAATAGTTACTAGTATGAGTAATGGTAATATCGATAATTCAGTTCTGAATAGCTGTCAGGCGATAATTAGTTCGTCGTCATTATCATCAGCATCAACATCATCTAAATTTACAACATGTAAATCTTTAAAACGGAAATCTGATAATAAACAGAGAGTAAATTGTCTGAATAATGACAGAATAGTGAATAAAATTTCTCAGATCAATTCGGAAGTTTTACAGGACTCTAATGATGTAGGTGATATTAATATTGATGAATTAGAGCACAGCTCTAGAACGGTTATTAGCTCGGTAGATAAGCTCGAACAAATGACAACAACTACTGCCACAGGATCTTTCAAAACTGATGAGCAATATTCTACATTTACAACGAATTATGAATATACACCTGTCATGAATTGTATTGTATCGAATAAATCTACTGCAGATTCAACAAACCTATCGTCAGTGTCACCTCAGCAAACAATACAGTGGGAAATTCCGAAATTCACTAGGTAATTTTTTATATTGATACATACACTTTTGTTTATATGAAATATATGTCTAGATATATTTTCATGATGCGTTGTATTCTCTCAGGTGAATAGTTTAATTAGTAAACTTTTATTGTCATTCCGGATAGCGTTATATCCTACTTAAAATGAAAGATTCATGATTAAACCATTTAGTTTAGAGAACACAACATTGCCAAAAGCATCCAGTTTAGCTGTAAGTTTTTTTCATTTTAAAATATGTTTAGATAGGATTCGTTTTATCGAGAGTTGGTCGTATGTATTCCTATGAAACTGAAAGAAATTCTTGTCCTTGAATATATCTTCGTATAATCATCATATGCTCACTAGTGACTGGCTTTGAGATGGATTTCCTGGAGTGCTAGTGAGAATCAGTGGCCAGTGGAGTCCGATTCGTGTAGTGTAGAGACAAGTATCTACCTCAGACAATGGATGAATGGTTGAACATGATGATGGGTGAAATGAAGTTACACATTAACAACATTGAATGTCTGCCCAATGGTCTAGAGGTTAAGCGTTCGCACACGAGACCGAAGGTCCTGAGTTCGAATTCTGCGTGCAGGATCGTGGTTGCGCACTACTGAGAAACCCCACACTAGGACGGAATGGCCGCTGAATGCTTCCAGGTTTTCAATGGTGGTTTAGCTTAGATTGACTCATGAATTGAACTATTAAAAATGACTACAATCTTCACAATCCCCCAATTTTGATAATAACTTGATTTTTACATTAACTTTGAAGCTGTTTAATATATTATTTATTGAGCAAAATAAAAGTGTCTATATCATTTTAGCCGCCAATCTCATTTCAGCATGTCGAAATCCTGTCACAAATGATAGTAGATTTATATCATTCATTATTTTTTTAGTTAATGAAATTTTGGAAAATAGAATTATTTGGATTAATGATTGCATTTCATGTTGAATTGATAAGATGGAGTCAAAATTTGAAATCAGGGAGTATATTATTAATTACAATAACATAATCGATTAGTGTAAATACTCCAGTCCTATATTAGGTTACTTACCCCGTAGTATGAATAACTTAGCGTTTGCATCACTGATTGAAACTATGGATGGTTTTAATTTAAATATATGAAATTTTTTGTTCTTGTTTAAACTGTATAGGTTCAAAAACTTTAAATTTGTTTCGGCAATTTGCTTTTACGGTTTTATTTTATCACAATATTGTTACTAGATTTTACTTGGTATATTTTTTGGTTCTCTGATATACTGAAAACTATTTATTCTAATTAAGAAATAAGACTTGAAAATTACAGGTATAATCCTGTGCAAGTTGAATAATATTATGATAGGTTGATTGATTAAGTCTTATATTAACAATAAATTGTCATACTTATTAATTGTTGGATAATCTAGAGATTAAATATACTATGACATGAACTCTTGTATGCTCACATTAATTATAGTCACTAGGTAATGGAGTCCTCTAGTGATTAGTTCACTTTATACTGATTAGACCAATAATTTTCTCTAGTAGCATAATTATCATAAAAAACAACTGGATATCTTAACACCTATTGGTCCATATAGATCCTTTTGTCCTTGGTATTCAGTTAGAAGACGAAAACAGCAAGTAGCTTTACCTTCTATTTATGTATTGTCCAGCACTGACTTGAAAACTCACAGTATTAGGTACAACAATTACAGGGCTACAGAGCAATACAAATAAGTGATTATATATATGACAAATCACCGTAGAATAGTTCCGAAAGTTCCAATTATTAATATCGATCTAACATTATGCATGTAAACTAATCTTTCAATTACTTCTTTTTAACCATTGCTGATAGTTTACAAGGTGAGTAGGTATTTAGTTAGTTTGCTTATTCATCCGTTTTTTTTCTACTAAAAACCCTGTTTCATTGTGTAGATAAATCTGGTAGAAGTTCTTATTTTGCTATCTAAGTTGTTTATTGCTTTTTTTCATTTTCCTATTAATAGTTTGACTGATAATTCCACTGCATTGGGATTTGTACAATCTGTAGTACATGTAAGTAAACAATGTTTCTTTTTAACCTGTTTATGTAACAAAAAAAAGTGGTTTTGTTTAATATTCTTAATCTTTAGATCATAGTTTTCATTTTGCCTTCCCTGATAGACAGATTTTTCAGCCCGTGATAATTCTTCATAGTTGAAGTTCGGTGGTCTTTGTTTTAAGGAACATCATTAGCTCATTAATAGTATGAATTATTTGAAATCAGATTAGTATATCGATAAATTTTGAGTGGTTTAAAATTAGTGTAACACACATTTAAAACTGTAGGGAATAGGTTTTCATTCTACCATTGTTCGAATAAAGCTCGGAATGTCAGCTGTTAAGACTAGATTCAGTTATTTTTTAAAAATATCAGGTACTTAGTTTTAATTCATATATGTTGGTTGTTTGGATCTTCTCATTGATATTTTAGAACTGCGATTGATCAGTCTTTTTTGGTATGTGCTTGTAGCTATTTGATCGATCACTTTGTGTGAATCAACAAAATATAGTAGTTATCATCAGTCGACTTGAGTGATCGTCATGCTACGTCGCAAATCGATTAAATGTAGAACCGCACCACTGGACACCGGCCCAGTGGTTCTAATGGTTAAGCGTTTACTGTCAGAATTAGAGGTGGTAGGTCTGATTTTAGGTGGGATCGTGAGTAACCACTAATAAGGAGTACTATAATAGAACAAAATAAATGTTCAATCCCCTTTGGTTTTCAATGACACCCCAAATGAGATCAACCTGTGACGAATACCATTTACCCTTAACAGTTATTTCACTAAAAACACTGTATTTGACTCTAAATGCATCGATGAATATTGTTAACCGTTTCCGTTCATATAAATTTTCGCATAACATTTTTACTTTTGACGACTATTCGATGATTTTTATGTTGTTGAATTTTTACACTCAGCCTTATTCATTCCCTCCATTTCTCTTTATCCGTCTCACTCCCATAGAATACATTAGTTAATCCTTCTTTTACCATAACAACAACATCAACCACACCTAGTCAAATCTCCTGTGGTCAATCCATAAATTTCACTAATCAACATCAAAATATTTCACATTTATCTCCAAGTAAGTTTTAGTTTTTCAGTTTCACATGAAAAAAATTAGCATAAATTTCTCTTGATCTGTAGTACTTTACATTTTATATGATTATACAAGAAATAATATTTTCAGTATAGGGTTGTGGATATTGGTGAGTTTGAAATGATATAATGAATGGATCAGTGTTAGACATTAACACTTGGATGCCGGCTCGGTTGTCTAGAGATTAAGAGCTCACGTGCGTGACCGAAGGTCCTGAGTTCGAGTCTTTTTGGTGTGGGATCGTGGATGTGCACTGCTGAGGAGTTCCACACTAGGACGAAACGACTATCGAGTGATCCCAGGTTTTCAGTGATGGTCTAACATTGATCCATTCACGATATCAATTTAAAAATATCATTTTATTTGCTCTTAATTTTGATTGTGTCAAAAAAGTTCATGGATAAATGAAATTTTCAATATACTTGTAGTATACAACTTTGTAAATCAAAAAATTTACATTTCTTAATCTTATATTTTGGGACTAGTTTACACTACTCACTTCTGTTCTGACTTGACACTGTATTACAGCTGATCACTTGAGCCTTTTAAACTGTCTTGGTGTAAACAGACCAGATATTGTAAACTGAACTCCAAATGCATTTATAATTCTTTTTAATAAAAAATCCGTTTGATGTCCATTATATTATACACCTGGTTACATTAATGTAACAGATACAACTAAAATGAGTCAAGCTTTCTATCCACAAGTGCCTTTTGTTCTCTAATATGAGAAATCATATGGGATTACTATACAACGGTTTGATCACTAACGTTGATGAATTTCTGAATTTGTGAGGGATCCTATATCATCTATGTAGAATAGCAGAAACCAACCACTGAATTGACTGTTCTAGTCATGTTTACTCATTTGTCTTGTCTTTTTTTTGCCTTTATGACTTTTTTTTTGGTTCTTTCTCTTAACTTTTATGTGCTGTAATTTGAATCAGTCAATCATCATGTCAGACTTTACTTTGATCCATTCATTCAAGTAGTAATCACGTATTGATGGACGCTTATCTACTATGTTTAAAATCTCTATGAATTAGAGAAATCCTTAAGTTATAGTTTTCCAGCCCGAGACGTTACCACTGAGGTATTTGGATTTCAGGAATTTCCTGAGAGATATTCCGTATCATGATGTCCGTTCAAAACATTGTTAATTTCTGTATATGTTCATTAATTTAATTTTTTATCATCCTAAACATGCTACAGTAATATCAGAGTTTTAAAAAGAGAACGTGATAAAATTCTCTCTATTTATCACTACAGACAAACTGTACGCACATATGTGAGAAAGTCTCGATTCCCAAACCAATGAAAATCTTTAATCTTAGTCATTATTCAGGGATTATATCTGTTACTTGTCAGATTTTTATAATTGTTTATCCTCTACTTATAATTTTAGTTCATCCTGTTACCATGTGGAGTCGTCTAACCAATCCTTTACCAGCTCCAGATCCTCCAACAAAACTATTTAATACTAAACGTGTTCCATTTCAACATCTTCCTCAGCTTACTCCTACTATTAATAATCATAAATTTCAACAATTCCCAGTGGTTGGATCGGGTAATTCTATTTGTAACACTCAAGGAATTCCACAAACACTAGTCACAAACCATTTGCCTTATCATATAGCATCGAACTCCACGACTATTCCAACCGATTCAATTGTTCACTTGCCTACTGATGCATACCTAAAACAAAATACGAATACTAATGTAGTGGGCTTGGCTACAAATCCTTTGCAATATTCAACATTGTGTAATCCTAGTCCTTTAAATGATTTGAATTCTAAACAGTTTTTGCAAAACTTGGGTAAAATACAATTGAGTAGTCAACTTTATTCATCTTTTCCTACTCCTATGCATCTGTCTCTACCTTCACTGCTCTTTCCAAATACTCAGTTCTCACTAGTATCGTCTTCATCATCACCAGCGGTCTCATCACCTGTCTTCAGTAGTGGAAATCAAATTCATCATTGGCCATGCACGAACTTCCTATCAAATTCAAACATTTCCAAATTAACCGGAAATATCCCTGTAGGTTATGATACTACATCATTATTAATGCCTTCTGGAAATCCAATGTTAAATAATTCCAACAATAGTAATAATGTTCAAAATGGTTTTTTATCATATCCTTTTTTACTTCCTAATTCAACATTTACAAACGTTGGACAGCTGAACTTATGTAATTCAACTCCTTTGCTAGGAGCATGTCCATCATCTTTGCAATCAATGCTTGGCGCATCATACATCGTTGGTGCACAGAACTTTAGTGATAATAGTAACAACAATAACCAAGGTCACAATCGTAATACTCTTGAAAATTGCATCTGGCTTCCTTAATCTTTTCTAAGTGTATTGTAATTCAGTAGTTAGATAGATTTGTGTCAGCGTGCGTACGTGCCTACTAGCCTGTTTTCGTATGCTTATGTGATTAACTGTATTATAAATATTATAATATATGTCAATAATAGCAATTTTTCCTTCAAATACAAATAAGCATGTAAAGATTTACAAAATAGTTGAGAAATGTATATGCATGACAGGAATATATCTTTGTTCACTTTCTACATATATTTCTCTATTTTGTTTGTATATGTGTATTTTACCTGGTCTTCACTTATACCCTGGTTTATTAATTTACCATGACAGTCGTTTTCTTTCTTTCTTTCTTTCTCTTTCTCTCTCTCTCTCGATAATATATGTATTTGTTTAGCTGTATTTATAAAGAAATGGAGAGCTAATGAAATACACTTAAACTCCATTATTTTCTTTTGTTGCATTGTGTTATATATATATATATATATTCATGAGCTGAACAAGATGGAAATGGTTTAAATGAAATTATTTACCCGAACTTTTTGTTACACGTTTGGATATTTATCAGCATGATTTCTCATCAGAGTCGATTAAGCTCATCCGCTTTGAACGTTTAGAACTTATGCTTCTGTAATTCTGTCAGTAATTAAACTACGAAACGATATCCTAAGATATTGGACTCAAGGTGTAGTTATTCGATAACATATATGTATGTATATTCATTTATTAGGTCAACTAATAAACTAGGAGAAGTGCAATGTTTGATAATATGTAGCTCACCATCATTCATGTTATTCGGTAATATTTCTTACTGGAATATAAAATATTCATTTCTTACTTAGTTTATTTTATCTACTCATTTAACTTGAATAGACTAATTAGCTTTACGGTTACATTTTTGCTATCTGCCACCAAATAACTTACATTGTGGTGTCGATTCACTCAGATTACTGGCCACATTGTAGACTTGACAAACAGAACTCTGTAAGTACTGGAAACCAGACATGATATTGATTGTTAACTAGTGACTGAGCTGTATGAACTACTTACTGTGTATAAATGTATATATCAATAAATGAATTAATTATTTTTGGATTGATGGTCAGTTTGAGTCAGATCATAGTGGACTTGAACATTGATTACCAACTAACGATTGTAAATAGTTGAATTCACTGTGTTTATATTTATAAATCCAATTATGAACAGGGCTGAAAAAATATCTGTGTTCGACGTGAAATTGCGCACTATTATTTGCATTAATCAACCAATTGGGATATGATAACATTAGGAAAGACAGACATAAGTTTATGTGCCAAATAATTTAATAATACTAAATAATAAGTATTCTTACATGATGCCAAATGTTATTATATGTGTTTAGAAAGAATTCATTGTTTTCAGTTTACTATACTAATGATATTATTCACTCCTGTCTTATCAAAACATTATAGTCACTGATGGATTTCTGATCAAAATAGAATATTTGATTTCATTTAGCTGAGCGTCTACCTAAATCGTCATCATACTATTTTAAATCTAATGACTATTACTTGAACTATTTGAAAAAGCACTTTATTTTCAACTATTATCTATATTTAAAGTGCAGCCATTTACTTCAAAATGGTTATTGCTTATAAGCGGATGATATGAGTAGCAAATCAGAAGTAGCGAAAGATCGATCGATGGCAATCAGAAGTGAACTATGGTCAAGTGCATTTTGTTGGGGTCAATGGAAATGTGTATGTGGACATACATACATGGAGAAGAGTCTAAGATCCTTTTTGAGAGTTCCGTGTGCGGAAATCACTCCACATATATACTGTTGTAATTGATTCTTATCAATTCTTTCAAATGAATATTCTGCTGATGTTTTGATTCCAGTTGAGATGGTACTATTTATATTTTATTGTAGTTTTTGTTTATTTTATATTTCTACCGAATTTCCATGTTGTTGAACATATATGTTTATAAGTATCAATACCAAGGTTGAACTTCATAGCTTCAAATAATTTGAGCATTCGGTAGGAAGTTAGTATTAAATATAGTTTCTGTTATATCCCAATGAGTAGAAAAGTCGTAATTCTGACCTTTCGTGACTTCAGAAGAAGGCAAACTAAAAGAAAAAGACACTATAATAAGTATCCTACGTTTTAATAATTTTCCTACGAATATTATTAAAAACTTATTTTAAAGAACTGACCGTCTGTAAATAACAATCCTAATGAAAGATCTTGGATTGATACTATGATTTTATCCTACCGCCAGGATACGACAGAAGAATTACAACAGATATTGAAAATGCACAAAATTAAAGCTTTCTATAAAACGACTAACACTCTAAGAAACACCAGTTAAAGATAAAATCTCATCCACCTGTAGTGTTTGAATGAACTAATGATTGCTTTGTACTTGTTGAATGCCTGATTTCGAATTCTAAATACAATACATTCCTTAGTGCTTGTGTAGTACTTCCTGATTCAATTGCGTTATTTCTGGGATTCTTAGTTCATACTATAATTCAATTACTCCTAATTATCATATTGGCGTCGCGATGGAGCCTGCCATGGAACAGTTAGATATTCATTCAACTTCTGAAGCTTTTGAAGACTATTTGGAAAGGTTTGAAATCTGGAGCATGACCAAGAAAGATGATGAGGATATTAATATTGTGGCACATTTTCTCACATTCATTGGAAAAGAAACATATGGCTTATTAAAAATTTTGGCTTCACCGGAAAAGCCCATTTCTCTTCCTTATACAACTCTCAAGGAACTACTTCTAGACTATGCAAAATATACAAATTTCGAATGCGATAAAGGGAGATTTCGTAAAATAATTTATGAGGATATAAAAAATTCCACTACATTGCGTCACCCCATCCCAGTGCATACTCAAAGTTGTGCAGTTCACGAAGATGGGCACAAGTTTAGTCAATGTTTTTCTTGTGGCAAGTTCCACCCTTTTAATTCATGTAAATTTCGTAATTCTAAGTGCTTCAAATGTGGTGATGTTGGACATACTCAGTCAGTTTGTAATACTACTGTTCATCTTGCTGCAACTAATATTAAGTCTTGTGATTCTGATTCTATTAAGTTGAATATTTATAATGATCATTTATCTTTATCGACGATTTCAAAAAACAGTTTAGAGTCAAATAGTAGTTCAGAGTTAAATGAAACTCAGATTCCTTGCGAGACAACAATTTCTAATCAATCAACTTGTCATATTTCTCATGTTATTGTACCAGATATGGTTTTTCCTAACGATTCACATATTCCTGATGAAATTTCTTACAAATCTGAAGAAAATATGTTGAGTGAACATAATTATGATGGAAAACCTGATGTAGTTTTGTTAGATGCTGATTTTTCTAATGATTCTTTACTCTACAATGACATTCTTGATAAATTTGAGGACGCTATTTCAGAAGAATCAAATCTTGGTGTCATATCAAATATTATTTGTCATCATAATGGATTTGTTTCTTGTGGTAAACTTGTTCGATGCGAAGCACGAGTATTAAATGAGCTCGATTCTGATTACAATTCGGATGATTTCATAATTACTGCTCTTTATCCTTATCATGAATTTACTTCCAATGTATACTCTAGTCAATGTGAGAAAAATGTCTTAAATGAAGCCACATTATTCATAACTTGGGGATATGAAGATCCGACATTATTTCATGGGGGAAGATAGTCTATGGTTCATATTCTAGGTGGTAGTTTCAGTATTCAACCGGCATGGTGATTGCTCACAATCCCAGAAATCAAGTGAGTCTGTTCCGATTTCCGTTGTTAATTCTAATACTAATGAGTGCATTCTAGATAATACAGAGTCTTTATCCAATACATTGTCGGATAGACACAATATGAACTTAAGAAGACGTACAATCAATTACAGACACTTAGACTCCAATTTAAGCTGTGGCTGATGTGGTGTTTGAATGAACTAATGATTGCTTTGTACTTGTTGAATGCCTGATTTCGAATTCTACATACAATACATTCCTTAGTGCTTGTGTAGTACTTCTTGATTCAATTGCGTTATTTCTGGGATTATTAGTTCATACTATAATTCAAATACTTCTAATTATCATACAACCTCTACACAAAATTGTGTCTACAGATTGTGTTGTGTCGATTGTAATACGTTCTATATTGGAAAGTCTTCCCGTGAGATCTCGACTCGGGTTAAGGAACACTTAAGTTACGCGAAAAGACCTAATAATCCTGTAGAATGGGACAACTTTCAGGTTAAATCAACAATATCACTACATGCTATTTTCAATAATCAGCAAATTGATATTAAAAATATCAAAATAATTCAGAAAGGCTTTTCCAACTATAAAGAGATGCGAGTAGCCGAAGCATTTCACATTATGCTAAATCGCTCTGTCCTCAATAGGAAAGAATGCCTTAATATTCATTCAACTTGGACTATTTATCCAAACAACCATATCTAATCTTATCCAATTTCCACATAATCTACACAGACACACACACACACCTAATTTCAACCTCACTACCTAATTTTAAAAATGCATACATTTTTTTCATATCCACACATAATCATATAAGTGAAAAGAATAGTTTTTTGACAGATTTAAACGGCTGCTGTAGAGTTGATAAAGAATCATCACTGGAAATTCTGTTGAAGAAAACCTGAGTATAACAATACTTGTAAATAATAAGTTTTATAAAAGAATCCTATTGTAAATCGATTCTTGTGGGGGATAGTGTAATGTTATGTGCTATATTAAACCCACATGATTTATTCTAGCTTGCGGACAAGCCAATATATACATTCTTCTTAAACCATATTTGACCTTGTCATTTATTGGCTCATTTATTCTGACTGTTTTTAGATTAGCGTATGTATGTGCACAACTTATCCTACTCACCACATGTCTGTAGCTTATTTTCATCTGGTTATAAATATTGATGAACGATTGATTAATTCGAGTTGACTCACTTACCTTCTCCGATCCGTTTCGCTCTTCCCTCTTTGTTTCGTCTCCATG